TATCTTCGTAATAACCTTATAATATTTGCTCTATCATGGTAGTAGTAGCACATGATGTGCTTATGTAAATGACAGGAATGAGTCTGTGGGCAAAATAATTATATTTAAATTACTCAGTATACATTAATGCAATCAATGGTTTACATGCGCTTGTGTTGGAATTTATTTTCACTATTTTCGCTGAAGGAATGATTTAGTGAAAATAAAAGCCAGCGAATATACCATTTTTCCTATATTTTACATTTAACTCGCCAGAAATCAGTGAAAATAAATTCCATACAAAATACCCAAAAATTGATTTTAGCGAAAATTTATTCTGGCTAAAATAAAAACAAAAACAATTTTAGCCCAACTCAGATTTTATTTCGGATTATTGAACATAATGACCATTGTGTTATGCATCAATATTATTGTAAAAATGCATCACAAATAGTTACGGTAATATTATTATTATCTGCAGGTACTGAACATGAATTCCCTGAACAATTAAATTTTGGGCATGGCCTAATCGTCATCGATCATTTTTAAGCTGTAAAAAGTTATGACTTTGACTGCTGTTTAACAGCCACAAAAAATTAACCTTGCTATTTTGCCCAAGGTACCAAAAGTTGACTTTGCCATTGAAGAGGTTAAGCACCTGAAACTTGATTGGGTAACTATATTTACATGCAAACAACTAGTTTTTTTAGAGTGGCTTGTCATCCAGTTATCACAGCCATATAACATAAACACTGAGCAACGTTTCACAAATTCAACACGCTATATTCTGACTATCAATAACTTATTTATTCAACTATAAAAATGCCTTGTATCCATAGAAACTAAAGTGTGAGTGGTATGATTGTAGAACTACTGTTAACACTACATGTATTATATGCACTGACTCTGCTTAATGGTGTTCCTGTATGAGGTGGACGATACCTAAGAAATGAAACACCAAATAATAAGTAAATCACTTGCTTGTTTAGTTGATTGATTAATTACTTTGATTGATACTATTGATTGATTACCTACCATAAATAAATATATAAATTAATTATTCCTATATAAACAAATATGATCTATTGACATTATAATAATTATATTTGTACATGCCACTTGAACATACAAATCTTGATATTGATTTTAATATTTTATTTATTTTGGTATAATATGATTAAAATTAAAATGAGGTTTGCTTAATCACTTTATCACAACGTACACAGACAAAAAGCTTGAAATTCATGGCTGTAAAATTTAAAGATCAAGGTATATTAACCTTTTTACCACCAGTTTCTTCTTTTCATCACAAATTCACAAAATAGTCTGCACTTTCCTTCAAAAGACTGGGACAAAAATAGCCCAATTTTTTGAGTGAAAACTGAAAATTTACTCAAATTTAGTCTGTTGGCTCCAAAATTATGAGATCCAGAATATGAGAAAAAAATGCAGAATAATTTTGGCGAGAAAGTCTGGCGGTGAAAAGGTTAAAATTACAAGTCATTGAAAATGACACAGTCCCCGTTAAATTTTTGAAATTTCTCTTTGTGCTCGTCATATTATAGCGGAGGGATTGAACGGAGCGTGTCGTTGAAAATTGAGTTCGAAATGGCGTATACAACAGATTGTTTATTTACATCAAAACACTTGTTTCGTGTAGTAGTAATATGGCCAAAAATAAAAACAGCCGTTATTCGGCCATCTTTGATCTGATTATGAAACACACTGATATGTATGATGTATGTGCCAAATACGAATGAAAATGGTACATAAATTGTGGAAATATAGTAGTAAGGTCAAAAAGTCAGATGGCTGTCAATCGGCCAAATTGTCATGGACATGCATCGTAACATGTTTAAAGTACATGTATGTGCCAAGTTTGAATGAAAACTGATCGAGCACGTCCAAGATACCGCATAAAAAAACAAAACAAGATGCCTGCCAGTCGACCATCTTTGATCCAATTGCGAAATAAATCGTTATGGACATGTATCCTAACATGTTTAATCTATGTACCTTGTTTAATGACAACTGACAAAGCATGTCCAAAATACAACATTTTCAAAAAACAAGATGGCTGCCAGTCGGCCATTTGAATCGGCCATTTGAATTGTGCATATGTCCCGCATAAGGTACTAGGCACATGCAAAGAATGAACAGAATCGTTCCACAGGATTCTGAAATATGACGTTGGACAGACTGACACACGGACGGACAGACTCGGACAGATGGACGGACAAACTCAGGAACTCACGAACGGTCGGGGACATGTATCCTAACATGTATGATCTATGTACTAAATTTGAATGAAAACTGACAAAGCATGTCCAAAATACAACATTTTCAAAAAAAAAGATGGCTGCCTGTCGGCCATTTTGAATCGAATCGCTAAACTACTGCATGTGCATATGTCCCACATACAGTACTAGTCAAATGCAAAGAATGAATGGAATCGGTCCAAGGGATTCTGAGATATGACTCCGGACGGACGGACACACAGACGGACGGAGACCGAATTATAAATCCCCGTTTTAGGACTTCGTCTGAACGGGGACTAAAAAGGAGGTTATTATTATCACAACGTATATAGCTTGAAATTCATGTATATACCCACACATGGCCTGCTGAAAGACTCTAAGGATAGCCAAAATGAACAGGGAAGTCAGAGTCAGAAGGCAATATAAACCATGTGTACTTCACATGCTGCTGATGCAGTCAGAACCTTTGTAAGGGTGGTGGTTATTGCACCATGACCTTTGCGATATGGGATCCATATGAACATTCACAATGCAAAATAAATACATTGTTAGTTTACAAAAATTCAAGTTACACGACGACCATTATGTCATTGAGAAATACTGTCCTTTAATAGGAGTGCTGCAGATTTACTATATACTAAGTACGTATTAGATGCGGTTCAAGTTACGAATCTTTGCATGCCTATATCTACATCCAATTGGTTATTCAACAGATCAGACAGAAGCGTAACGTATCTTATACTAATGGTAAAGTTCAAGTAGTTAATGAGCAAATATTATTCCTGTATCCTAGCAACAGTGTCAGGTATAAACAAACACTCACTGGTGCATTTCAAGGTATTGTCAACGTACTGTATATAATATACACATCACTTAAAGGACAATGGTCTCCACGCCACATCATATTCAACGTGTATCATATAAAAAGCCTTTAAAATACACTTTTCTTTAAACAAGAATTAAACATTCGCTGCGTGACAACCCACACCATTCAAATTTCACATTGCCAATTATTGATAGATGTTGCGCTTCTGTTGTATCCAATCATCCATGCAAGAGAATAAATTATTGCTTAATTACAGAATAACTTGTTTACCGGGTATATATCACCGAATGACAGAATTATATATGTATTCAAAAAATTATTTTAAAATAAAACATAATCATTCATTTTAGTAACTTTGCTTAAGGTGGAACCTTATAAATAACTTGCAGTATGCAAGTATTTTAGAAATTATTATAAAAAAATAATTACCATATCTGCTCTATTAAAAACGCACATAAAGCAAATTAAAATATTACATATTTTGACCTTTCTAATAGAGAAAAATATGATAATGTTGATTATTTTCTGTGAAATTTTTCACTGAACATTTTGAAGTAAACATTTTGTTTGAACTAATATTTAAAAAAATCAGAAAATAAACATAAACAACTCAAGAACTACTGCCCCGCTGGCCATATTGAGTAATTGAATATAATAGTGACCCAATAATGACCTTTCAGTATACGGCCGACATTTTGAAACAACCACCTGTTGCTTGGAAATGCACAGTCTGGTTGCATAGCAACTTACCATGGATTTTGATAAAGATGTGTGTGTCTGTCTTCGGCAGCTTGTCGAAATTCACCAGTCTAAAAGAAATTCAATACAATTGGTTTACAAGACAGAAAATGAAATGAGCTAAACAATTTTAAAGGGCGGCAGTCGTCGTGTCACGTTCTGTTCGATATGGGACTCATAGCGACGTATAAAATGCGTGTAAAATACATTGTTAATTTACATGAAATTTGAACACATGCTGCACGACAAACTGCGCTTAAAGGTGTTTCTGAATGTGTTAGGGTGGTGTTGAGTTGTTAATTGTACTCTGTTTTTTGAAACTATCAAACATAAAAACAATAAAAAAATAATATAAAAAAAACAAAAAAACAATAATACAAATATAACCTCTGCCATCACAATTGGAGGCACAAAAGTCTAATTAGGTGCCAAATTTATTTCGTTTTGTTCAAATTATTTGTACTGATACTCAATATTGATATGTGGCAAGTCTTCCATGAGTGAGTGATGTGTTTTTTAAATTTTAAAGGGTAGTGCATCGCATTGCGTCGTGTTTGATATGGGACGTTAGTAGTAACGTACACAACGCATATAAAATACATTGTTTGTTAACATGAAATTCAAACACGCTTTAACTTGATACACTGCATATATATTTTAAGTTTAAAATACACTGCATATATATTTTAACTTTGAAATATATTCAAAAAATTCTATTGTTCACATATAATATGAATGGAAATGCTGCTGGAATAACCTATAACACAATTATTATTTATAACTCTATCCTAATATGATGATTATTTAATGGCGAAATGTTCTTGTAGAAAAATGAATTTATTTGAATTTGTGTTTTCTCAAAAACAAAACAAAACAGAAATACTGATGAGAGAATACTGAAATAATTGTTTAATTTTAATATTAACGCACCACAGTGTGTAATCATGCTGCATCTTCCAAATTATGTGTTCACAAATAATGTATTTTACATGGGTTGTATATGTAGCATGGGACCCACACTCTAAATATTGTCACTGCTACACCCGGAATACAATTTTCCTCCTTAAACATTCAAAAAGAAATTGACTTTTACAACCATTTTTATTATATTATTATTTCTGGACAACCTCTTACATATTAATTAAACGCAATTTATGACATTTATTATTGAAACCAGACATGGTAGCAATTATTCTATTTTAATAATTCACAGCCTAACATAACAGGAAATTAAAACTAAAAAGTGGGACAACATTTAATTAAGAAGTCTTGTATTATTGCCTCTTAACGAGAATTTAATAATTTATAATTGACAGATAATCCATAATGGTGACTTTTATTACAATAGTTAATAGAGGGAATCTACAACACAAGTGAAATAACATTACTCATATTACCATTTCCAATGAAATAATATAAAATGGTTCTTTTATAATAATCATGCTTAGTAAATCTATACATATAAAGGTTGATAGTAAAATTAAAACATGTTAAAGCAACATTGTCATCACAACTGTGCATATACGTATTGTAAAGTAAACTTAACAGTAATAGAACTGTAGTTCTATTACGGTATTGTTAAAGGACGACGGTCGTCGTGCCGCGTCCTGTTCGATATGGGACTCATAGCGTCGTATTCAACGTGTGTAAAATACTTTGTTTGCTTACAAGAAATTCGAACACACGCTTTAAGTTTACTGGTTAGTCTATACAGTTAAAATCATAAATATTGGTCACAGGATGGCTTATGTTTAACATAGTATTTTATCACCACAAAAAACAACTTCCATTTAACATGACACATAAGTTTGGCAATTGTATGAATCACCAATATGTAAACTTTCATTGTTGTGAGCTAAAGCACAGTTCTGACGACGATGACACTTATAAACTCCTGTGAACCAATTTAATACATAAATGAAAAGGCTCAAGATGCTTTTCTTCAAATAATGAAATTGCCACATGTTTGCAACAGGCTAACCTTCTGTCTATCTGATATAGAGGTGTGTGATCAAAAGCATTACCATAGCTTTGATGCTTTTTGATATTATCTATATAATATATGATATATTCTCTATAATATATTGAATTCCTAGCGAGCTTAAGGGTCATGACAAATTATGCATTTCTCATTTTCATTCATTGGCATGGCAACCATCTTACCTTGATTTGCATACCAGTTCTAAGTAAACGTCTGTCAGTGTATGAAGGAATACCCCACCCTATCTCGCCTACTTGAGATGATTTGGGTCTTGGATGTGGTGTTCTTAAGGCGGCACGATATAGATATTTTAATTCACTGCTTCCTTCCCTGGACATTGTCCCGATACCAACATGACGGCCATCACGTACCACATTTACCCTGTAGTCATCGATTCCATCAGGGCCTGCAATAGAACAGAACAAATAATTTTGTTTAATATATTATAAAATTTTATAATGTAAAAATACCGGTAAGTATCGCCATATATACATAAGTGTATATTCATAAAAATGCTTGTAACCTTAATTACTTTTTTTGAAAAAAAAGAGATCTCTTTGGTTTTCCTACCAAAATTTTGGTCCAACATTTTTGCTAATTTTCATGATTTTGACTGATATGTTTTTGCTAATTTTGGACCAAAAGGACATTATTTCCTACTGTACAGATGTGGATTAGAATTTTGGAAAAAAATTGAAATATTAAAGAAATTACATGTATTTTTGTGAAACGTTGACTCAAAAAGTTAATATCAAATTGTCTTAATTTGCCTGAAAATATGACTTTAAGAAAACACAAAATTTGTCAACTCTTGAACACATGAAAATGTATTCAGTCTTTGATCATCGCATTTTTTGATAATTTTTCGATAAAGGCTGGTCGTCATCATGCACTGTGTGACATTTCATGTAAATTTACAATAAATTTGACATACGTTGTTTTCATCACATTGGACCTGAACATGACAATGTGTGATGAGGGCCGCCACCTTTTTAGTGTTTAATTATTTTTTTCATTATTTTTACCTAATTATTTGAGACAATGGCTGGGTCAGTATTATCTTGGTATTTTGGAATGTAATCTTACTATGCTTATACAAAGAATCTCATGAAGAACATTTTCCCATAGTTAAAAAAACACATTAAAGTGAGAACATGTTAGAAAACATGCTATTAAAGACCAATAATAAGATTTATTTGTAAAGGGTTTTTTTATAGTTTGTTTTTCAAAAGAGTTGCACAATACATGAAGACTTGAAAAGATACAATTAAATTTATGGTGTGCTTTCAATTGTTATTGCCATGCATGTCTCATTGTCTATACTTTGTATACATGACTGAATGTGGTTAATATATGCAGGAAAACAATTGAATTACGAATTTACACGTTTACATCAACATTTTCTACACCAATACATGGCAAGACTGTATTGACAGATGGGATTGGAATAATTTTAGACTACAATATAAAACTAGTGATAGAAAGTGTAATACATTAGGGTTCAAATTATGACAATGCTAGATCTGGAGTCAAATACATGATAAGACAGTTTTCTTTAACATTATATTGTGCTCAGACTACATTGGGATGATTGGCAATTAATTTTCATATATCACAAATCGATTAAACCAGACTGTGAAAAAAAAAATATTTTGCAGATTTTCCAATTTGCATTATTTGTTTTATTTGACAATCTTGAAGATTTGTTTATAAATACATAAAGTGTCTGTAATTTTGTACCAATTACAACCTTGTGTTTAGTGATATTTTTATATTGTACAGTGCAACTGTTACTGTATTAATAGAATGTGAAGAATTTGGCCTTAAAAAAATTGCTCACTAAAATTGTCAACTGCAACTGGGAAAACATTTTTTAGAAGGTCATAGTCAATAAATATTAAAAATATTGAAGCAACAATAAAATGATTAAGCACCAGCTTTATTTTGATTTTGTTAATTGATGAAATTAGTTGGTTGCCTAGCAACTAGACTTCTAGGAAATAAATTAATTAAATACCTTGGCAATGGCTTGATGAACAATTATTTTACCTTACAGTGTCCTCAACTCAGAAAATCATGTTCTTCAGGGGTGGTTGCTTACCCGAGCACCGCCCTCGGATAAAGAGCGCAAATGACATTTTTAATTCACCATATGACAGATATTATGTCTTTGAGGGAAAATAAAATTACAAAATTAGTTGCGTCGTCATCGACTTTTACAATGAAGAAACAGAAATGGTCACAAAGATTTGCACATTTTATTACAATATTAATTACGTACCAGCCGAATTTGCAAGATTAAAAATATTAGAGTCTGTTGGAACACAGTCGAAATCAAAATCTTCATCCTTATCTTCATTGTCGATTGTGTTGTATCGTAAGCAAATTCTCAATGAAAAGCACTTCCAGCCATAATATTTTCTTTCACTTTTTGACTATTTACACTTTGCCGAATGTTACCCTGAATATAAAAATTGGGGGGGGGGGGGGCTGGGTGCTTGACCGGGCATGGGTGCTAACACTGTCGAGTATGCTAGTTTGCACTGTGACCTTAAAACTTGGGACAGGCTAATATAAATAATGATTTAAACTGATTCAAAGTTATTGGCAAAGATAAAAAAACAGTAAAATTGATTATCTTACAGAGATGTGGTCACTTGCTTCAATTAAACCTTATGGTTCACAAGAACCAAGCTTTCAATAAAGTCATTATTGTCCATATAGTATTAAAATGAAAGTTACAGTTACAGATTAAAAGAAATGGAGTCAACTTTCAATGCCACAAAATTTCCTAACAAACTTTAGATCCAACATTTTAATTAATTTTAATAACTTCTTTGGTATCGGTAATTCAGGGTCAAATACTACTGGTACTTTAGTATATATGATTTGTCACTGCATAATACACAGGGTTAGAGCCAGAAAACATTTAGTTTCTGTCTACAAACTTTATCAAATGAAAGATAACAGTTATAAATTTGTAACCACAGACTTACAATCAATTTTTTGTTGATTATTTATGGAAATTTTGTAACCATATAAATTTTGCCTGTAAAAAGTAATTTTGTATCTGTGGAGTGCTTGTCTAAAATGACAGGTAGACATACAGCAGACTGAAATCCAATTGAAAACAAAAATGTAAAATCGTTTTCAAGTATTAGTAATATTTCAAGACTAATTGACCTGTGAAAACAGAGTACTCTAATTTATTACAGAATTCTTCTTCACCTCTTTGTAAAAGAACCAAACAATTCAGAAACTATAGCAGTCACGTGATGTAATTAACATTGACAATAGTGACAACATAATTTTTTGATAGAGTGTTGCAAGGGCTACAATAACATGTAAAAATTGTTAGTCATGAATCAGTAATATTTTTATCAAGCCTTCTCTGTTTTGTCCAACGAAAGTCTACTACATCCTTAATCAAACTTGTTGTCTATTGTTTTCCATTGTTTTGTTAATCCAGTAAGAAAATAAACTGAGCTAAACATCACAGAGCTAAAATAACTTTTTTATAGCTCCGTGGTATTTATGTTGGCTGTGTGGATGACATGAGCTGCTATCTTGTTTAAGCCACTTCAATTTGTATACAAAAGACACTTTAGAATACGGAGTGAATGAAAGATGCCTATACAGCTAGGTGACTGTTATAATGCGACAGACCATGGATGTACTAAGTACATCCATGGACAGACAAAACAGACATGCATGACCACACTCAGTGTGGAGATCCGAACTTGTGATGCAGACAATAGCGTATATAGGACAAGTTTTTAACAATGACTGATTATACACCTAACTATAGATAATTCTTCACGTATTCATAGAGTTGTACCTTAGAGGGTTGCATATTCAGGACATTTGTATAGTCCATTAAATCTATCGCTGTGAAGTCAACCAAAGGCCATGTGTAATGTACAAGTTCAAAGCACAAGTTTAAATGATTCGGAATTGTTGTTTTTTATTGTGTTCAATACCCCAAGGACCCTAGAATTTGGCAATGAATATGTGCTTGTAACTAAATACACATATCGTGGACAGGCAGGTACAATTCGCTGTTCTAAACTCACAAACTGCCTTTGTGGTAGACCGAACAATACATGTATTCCTCTTAAATATTGATACCAATGGTAACTCGGAAAATTTCACGAAATAATGCAGGAGTGACATTATTGTCTAAATGTTGCGCGTTCAATGAACTAGAAATGCTAGTGTGTTTGTATAGTCAAAGCTAGGAGATATCCAAGTAACTGCAACGCCTGAATAACCAAATAGCTACCACTTTAGTCCGAGCACATACTAAGTTACAGTTTCAACACGTCGTCAATACAGTACCACAATTGACAAGGATAATATTGCAATGTGTCAGGATTATTGCGTGTAGTTTTACGCTGAGTGAAAAGGTAAACAAACTTGTTCCCGGGTTTTCGTTACTTTTAGGTCTGATCCATTTACTAAAAGTATCTGCCGTTATATTTATGTATAAGGTAAAACACTGTAGATTATTGTACCGTACACATTGTTTAACAAATAAGCAGTTGTTGTTATTGTTTACTCGGTTATGACTAAGATGTCTACATCAGTGCCGTGTACGGATCGCTGTCAAAGCGAAACATTCCGATCCGGATCCCAAAAGAAGGGATATTTTAAAAACCCGTTTCTATTCTATTAAATTTTTAGAAAATGTGTACTTTTGGGGCACATACTGGAAAATGTAGTACCAAGGCCTGAATGATTGGAATGTTAACAACAGTGGCCTGTTACATGCTGTTCATACACCGTGTTTCATGCGAAATGCTTTTTTTCGCGAAACTGTGATAAACCACCGCAAACCCCTTACCTGTGAACAACACTGCCCCTTTACCCATGGCATGTTTTCGCCGTTCGGCACGCCACGTGGACGTTGTGGTTGTAGAAAGGTACGAATTTCGCCGGGTATATGGAAACACGGTCGCCGACATGGTTGTGCTAATTCGAGCAATAAATAATAGACATGCTCATTTACAGGTGATCACTGTCAGTAGACGCGCTTTCGTTGCTAGAGGGCGTTGCTAAGTATCATACATATTTAATGAGCAGGGTGCTCGGATGTGCAAGGGAATATTAGAATTAGTAAATAACGGTCAATCAACAATGTTTTATTCCAATAAAATTAAATATTTATTAATTTTAAAAGATAAGTATGTTAGTGCTGGGGAATCTATTTTAAGAATTCCTAAAAGAACATGTTTTAGAATCTAATTACCCCTATAAATAGTTTGGGAGTCTGATCACCTCGTTCTACACTTAGATAACACAAATGTATTCCCTTGTGAATTTGATTGATTATTTCTATGATAGAACACGAAAACTTTTAATAAATAATGTTATATTTAAAATTTTAATAGAAAAATTAAAGGTTGTCTTTGAATTCCATGTTCAAACTATCAAATTTCAATTACGTTCTTAACGAGGCTCTGATCGTTGATGGCGCTGTTAATGGTACTGGCTTTAAAATGGCGTCGTAAACATTTCAAACTTTGACTTTCAAACTATTTTTGTTTTGCAACAGCATGGGTAATTATGTTTCGGGTTGGGGTAAAACAGAAGGCACAACTACGCCAAGAAAAAGAAACCGCGACGAATGTGAACCGGACAGTGACAATGATAGTGATCCAGAATTTCTACACACACCAAAAAGGTTCGTATTTAAACTGTCACACAAACACTGAAACAGTTATAAAGTTCCAATTTTTCGGTGATAACTGTCATTCAGAATTTTTAAACGATGCCGAGATTTGACAAATTATTTAAAAAGTATGTACAACGTCACCCTAGTTTGCAAATTCAATCATAAACTATTTCTGTAGTTTAAAGCCTACCTCTTCGATTGACCCAACTAGGCCCCGTTACGGATAAGCTGCAGGTCCATGCGTAGAGTAAACGCACAATTGAAATGACACTTGTTGACACATTTGCTACCAAAAACGGACCAAATACATGATCATTTATAAATCGGTTATTTATATATCGACTATGCCATTCTAATATGTGAATACAATTTCAAGATTACGCATAGATGTACATTACAGCTTACTGAGCAAAGTTCACTTTTGAAATCATTACGTCATATGGGAACTGATAGACAAGATCGCTGCCACTTGTACGTCAGTTAAAAAGTGGAAAGTGGCTCCCATTCTCGGTCAGTGGTCGTATTCATTATTATGCGCCCTTTGATAGATTTGAATGATATGAAGTGGCATAGAAAATGAAGGATTTATGGGCGACAAACTTGGCCGGACCTGCATCTCCTTGTTCGTATTAGAACCCAGCTAGGCCAGTTGGAGCTGATAAACCTACAGCAACCATAGACTACAGTGTATTTGATAATTTCATTATCAGTGGCTGCTTTAATTCTGAACCATATGGCACATTGATTTAATTGATTTAATGTCTTTTGACCACAGATAATGTAACAAAATATATTATTTAGTGTCAAATAAAATATACTATACTATATACTATACTATGGCCCCTTTATAGATACACTGTGTGCAATCTTTTGGTATGTGTATCACTGTGCATGAAAGTAACTGAAAGTTTTCAGTGCAACAGGTTTTTCAACATTTCTGCATTTCACAAAATTGAAAGCAAAAACTCAAGTTCAAATCCAATACATTACAGTAGCAGTAACATTTTATTTTATCTTTTAATAGCAAATGAACATTTCTGTCAGTTGTTAGCAACAAATGTATAGATGACAACTTGTACAAATTAAGCCTAACGCCACTAGCAAAAAAACATACTAAATACAAAAATTGATGAAAAAGTACCTATGCATTGTGTGCAAACGTAATGTGTATGTTAGTTTTGTGAATCAGTTTTTTTTTCACAGTTAATTCTGTACTGTACTGTTTTTACTGTGATGGATGCCAGGTGAAAATGCCCTGATGTTGGTCCCAAGAATAGTCAGTTAAAATTATTTCTAATTATAAATGTCTTTATTGTGTATTTTTGTATTAAAAAACACACATAGTCCGCTACATGATATATTGTTTCATTTTCATTTTGGTTATATTGCGCCACACATTTTGAACTCTTGCACCGTTTATTTTCACCTTTGTATATCTATGTTATGACTGATAGGTTTCACTTAATGAACTAACTTTCTTAATTTGCAGGAAAAAGCTTCACACTACTTCCAAGTATATCTATGAAACCCTATTTGTGAGTGGTCAGAATAGTGATGTTACTATACAGGCACTGGGAAAAGAATGGCATCTACACAAAGTTTATTTATGCCAGGTAGTGACAATACATGGCTTGTCATTAACGTAGTTTGTTACCGTTAAAAAAATGTAATGTTACTGTAATGTTCAAAATAAGTTCTCCACAAAATGACGTTGAAAATTGATCAAACATGTGTTTTTTGAATAGTTTACATTTGGTTCCTATAGTTGAAACATTCCATTACATCTCAAAATTTAGTGCTAAAAATATGAAGTAGTGTTATGAGGGCTACATATAGCTGTAATGAAAAATAGGAGAATTCTGAATATCAGTAAAAGTTATTCATGCAATAATATGTTTACATAGTCCTATGGAAAATGTTCCAAAGTGGCCACTTTTAAGATTATTTTGCATATGTTTTCTTGGAAGCACATCCTTTCTTTTCTGTAAAAACATTAAATATGAATGACAAGCATGTATGTGAATCATTATACAACAATTTTTGAATGGTTTTCTGTGATCAATATTTTTCATGTTTTAATGGTAACAGACTATCTTAAAATAAAGTGTTGAACACATGGCTCAACAAATTAATTTATTGGTTTTGATCATAGTCAACTAGTAGAAGAACTGTGGATGTTTGCTTTGCTGAAACTTCTTTTTAGTGTAATCCTATTTCACTTATTTCTAATCAATCGTCATGCAATCAGAGGGCATTGTTTTAACCCTAAGACCTTGTTCACTCACAAAAGTCTCTTCTGGGAGATAAACACTGAACTCTGGATCGAGAATAGCCCTCTGACTCAAAGCTAAACTAACTTGTGCTTAATCTAATAACACATGTTTTCCAAAACTGGGTTAAGTGTTGTGCTCCAATGGTATAATAAAGTGTAAAAAGATGTGAACGCAAAGTTACCAGTGTGATGTATGAAAAGAAAACATGTTTAGCCCACTGATCAGGAATATTCCCAAAGCGACCCTGCCTTTCGTTTCTCTGCACTGACAAATAAAGATCTACCTACATGTACATCAGATTATAATGTGATTGCATATTTTTTTATTTCAGTCTGGTTATTTTTCAAGTATGTTCAGCGGTTCATGGATGGAATCCAGTTCTTCATGGATCACAATTGATATACCAGATGACAACATTGATATAGAAGGTAGGAATAACTGAGTGTGACTTTAAATTGTCAGACAAATGTAGGTTATTTCAAGCAGCCAATCAGAACTAGGGTTACAGACCAATCTTCAATGATATGTTCTTTAATTGGCTGACACAATTTATGCAGGTCTTCCAGGCACCCAATCAGAACTAATGTTACAGACCAATCTCCAGTACTAGTGATTTGCTATTTTATTAGTTTACAGATTTCATGCATGTCTTGCAGGCTGCCAATCAGAGCTAGTGTTACAGACTAGTCTCCAGTGATGTACTCTTTTATTGGCTGACACATGTTATGCAGGTGTTGCAAGCAGACGATCTATGTTCTTTTGTTTCCTGTCATTGCGTTCACAGTTCCAAATATCATAGTTCGTAAACTTGTCAAGGGCTTGCAATTTATAATGTAGGTAACAATACTGTGCAGGAAGTGAATACCTGTTATATTAACATGTTTATAGTAATTGACTGAGAATGTTTGTTTCTCTGTTTCCCTGCAGCTTTAAGAGTAGCGTTAGGTTCTTTGTATAGAGATGATGTCATGATCAGTCCATCTAAAGTTGTTCCTATCTTAGCAGCTGCAACACTACTCCAGTTGGTAAGTACTCAGTTTGTTAACATGTAAAGTTGCCACTGACTTGTAAATGTGTTATTAACTTCTTGCAACTCATCTTGACATCTGGGACATTGCAATCAGTATATATGCCAAAGCATGCTGTTTGATATTTAGTGGACAATTTTAATGTCCAAACTGCTTTTTTGGAATAATAATATACCTGTGTACATTGGCCATAGCATCATTCATATATGGTCATTTATGAAGTATAGTCAAATTAAAGTAATGTTTTGGGGTGGTGATGATCTCTTTCGTGATACTGCACTGGAAATACAGCTATGAATGTACAGTCACCATATAAATTTAATACACGATAGTAAAGCTGTATATATGAAATATGATGAAAACGAAACTCCAATGAAACAAACAAAATATGCTAGATCAAATGTGATGCAAGTCTTATCATTATATGCACTGATATAGTGTAAGAGTACAAAACAAGGCAGTAAAGGAAATTAGGTGAATACAGGAATCTTCATCGTCTGCCTGCACAATGTTTGCTCTGTTCAGACATTCCTCCCTCTACTACACCGTCACGTGGTTGTGCGATAGAAAGTTTTCAGACCAATAGAAAGCTTTGTTACATGACTGCCAGAAAGTGCTTAGAGCTTTGCATTTCTGTTGTCTTCGGCTTCATTTTTGCCGATACATGTTGCAGTGACATCGTGAGCTTTGAGGTACAACACCTACTCTTCCATAATACTCAACAGTGGTGACAACACTAATACCACACTTGATGGTCGCAAGGCCGGTAAAGCATAATAACATATTTACTATTTTCAATGCGACTAAAAACGAACACATCAGACTCGGCACTAGGTATAGTTTGAATAGCTTTGGTCTGAATCTCAGTGAGTTGCATGATGTATGGATATCGTGGCTGTATTGCCTCAACATCCAAGCCAACACCGCTTCCACTGTGCGCAGTGACATTTATTCTTGGGTCAGGCATTTTCACCGCCTGGCAACCACCATGGTGAAAACAAAGACCAATAAATTCTCAAAGATGGTATTTTAGGATGGCTGTTGACATCCCCTGAAGAGTATAACAAGATGTCACACGCAACGTAATATTACCGTAATTGGTATAGTACAGGTGTGATGGTTCAAATACCAAAATGGCAACAGTAACAGAAAGACTTCCCTGGCGGCGATGATAAAATACGAACACGGAGCCAACAGATCCGGTTTCAAATGGTACTGGTATTATTATACTCTGCAAACATCAAGTACAATAACGCGGTAAAACTCCACTACTCCAATAACTAGATACTTAAACTCCAATACAATTCAACAAGATCTCCGATCTGATCTCAGTGCTGAACAACTCCTCTATATATACCCACACTGTCTATAAATAGACCATTACATCAGCATACATAATGAGTCTGGAACTTACTACAAATTTCTAGATTGTTTCATTACCTTCTATTGCCTTCTACAGTGTCCTATTACCTATTCAACCAACTTCTAAAAATTCCACCCAGACACAGTACGGTTCTAGAACATTCTCAGTCACACGGAAGTGGTAAACAAGTCGTATGCGACACAAGATTACCCCTACATATGCAACATATTTAAATTCACTACATTCAATTACCCACCATAGACTAGGGTCAGTCAAAATGACTATTTTGAACTGTAGGCATTAATCAGCGATTCTGCCAATGCGAAGAGATAGAATCTAGGTCAGGGGAAGCCCCATGACCCAAAGATTCTATTCCCTTGCGTCACAAACCACGTGATCGAGGCCATATGGCGGCGCTATTCACCAGAGTGATGAAACAGGTAGTGCTGCTGCTTCACCAAATGTCGATATCCTTGGACCCACTCGCCGCAGGTATGACTCTGGTAACAGATGCCTCCCTCCAAGGTTGGGGAGCGCACCTATTGGACGAACAAGCCCAAGGATATGGCCCCCGCATTAGTTCCGGGACCACCATATCAACCAGCTCGAACTGAAAGCAGTGCACTTAGCACTACCACACTTTTTACCCGAAACGCCAAGCTCCCGACGTACATAACACTCCTGCTGACGCCAGGAGCCTGGGCCAGGGTCGCTTTGCTAAACCTGTGGACCCACTTAGTTATGTATGCTTTTCCTTCCTTCCCGCTAGTTCACCGGGCACCGGAGAAAACTTTGACAGATGCACACCTGCATATTGTCATTGGTCGCACCTAATTGGTCAACCAAGGCCTAGTTTCCACTTCTGTTGGAAATGCTAGTCGAAACACCAGTAGTGCTTCCGGACTTACCGGACCTGCTGTCCCAACCGGACGGCGCACTACCAACGAGCCCAGTGGGTATCACTTACAAGCATAGAGGCTCTCATTAGACCCGCACATACAAAAGCTTTATCTGAGCGGGCTGCCAACGTCCTGGCCAAGGCAAACATGGATTCCAACAACACAGCCTACATTTTTAGGTTGTGAGCATACACTGATTGCTGTAGCGGAAGGGAGATTGATTCATACCATCCCTCTATTGGCTAGGTAGCTGACTCCTTTGTCCACCTGTTTGACGAAGTGGGTTTGTTTGCTTCAGGTCTGCCTTAATTGTCCCCCACCATTGAGAACGTTTCCGGAACAAGACTAGCCGATTGTCCTATTATTTGAAGACTAACTCGCTAATGCTAGCGTCAGGCGCCCCCCTCAAGCACAAACTGAGGGCAGGCTTCTGGAGAACGCAGAACGTCTTTATCAACTACTACCTAAGAGACAGCCAATCCATTGAGAAGGGTCTCTTCAGGTTGTTTCCCGTCATAGCGGGTCAGACTTGCACATAGGCGATAATTTAGTCTCAGCATTTTTGCAGACAGATTTCTATACCATCAGCACCCCCCGGAAGCTCTCAGGTTTTGCTTTTCGACCTATGCCCTCATGCAGAACTGTTTCGGTCTTCACTTCGAAAGCATACTACCCCTGAATTGGGTTTGGGGCTAGCTTTCTTGGGCACGGTCACTTGGCTTCCTGCTCCGAAGACAGCACAGGCAAGGTAAGACACCACCCTTTTTGGGTTTTAAATAAGGTGTTGAGTGATTGTTGTAGAGTGTTTCATCCTGGACTAGGAAGTGACTTTCATCATTTTTCTGTTTGCTCGGAAAACCTGCCATCTATCGGCGTCTGACTCTGCCTACAGTTCAAAATAGTCATTTTGACTGACCGGAGTCTATGGTGGGTAATTGAATGTAGTGAATTTAGGCAGAGGGTTCTCGGAACCTGCCTATTCACATAGTTCATACCCACCATAGACTCCGGGTCCT